GTATGTGTGGTGTGCCCTCTCGTCGGGAGACTCTGCGCTATTGGTCACTCGGCATGGCTTGCTGGTGGACCTGCAGGGCAAGACCAGGAGCGGCCTGTGTCGCCAGGCTTTCCAGCCACCGCTCTTCTCTGCTAGCCTTCTTAGCACTTCTCTGTCTTTCCCTTCCTGTTGGCTTCCTCCAGTTGCGTCGTCGCTTCGCTCGCCTACGACTTAGCCCGCCGTTGGCACCCTCTCGCGCTCGGTGCGCGGCTGGCTGGCGACGCTTCCCGACTGCTGCACCTCCCCAAAAGTAACCAATTCGATACAATCACGACCCGATGCTTCGTACTGTGGGTTGGACTGGCCACGCGCAGGATGGACAAAAACCGCGCTTTGACCCCAAGGTTGGCTCGTGAAGGCCTCAATGTGGCAACAATTTTGCCCAATACCGCCACACGGACAGACAAAAACATTGCCCACCATGGTCGAACAACCTCTCCTCCGAGACTCCCAAGCGGCCAGACTCATCAACAAAGCATTCGGTCTTTCATGATCGTGGCGCCACGACGGGCCTCGAGGTGGTCCAAGAGAGCCCCAGGGGGGCCCCAAAGAATGTTGAAAGAGCCCTAAGATCCTGCAAGAGGGTCCAAAGAGGGCCCCACGAGGACCGCAAGAGAGCCCGAGAGGGGGATACGCCAGCCCCAAGAGGCCCCTAAGATGGCTGAGCATTGCCTAAGACAGCTCCTAAGAGGCCCCAATCAACGCCTTAGACGCCCCCAGGACCGTCCTGAAGTCTCCCAGAGGCTCCCCAAGCACCCCTCGGGATGCTCCGACAGCCCACGTTTGTTTGATTTACTGATCGTCTCTTCAAATTTCGATGATGGATTTTGGGTGGGAACGTGTGCCGTTGAGTGCTGCACTCGCTCTACCAGTCGACTTCTTCTCTCCCACGTGAGCTTCACATGACATCATAGGGAAACGACCACCATCCACCAGCTTCCAAATGTCCACGACTACACGCAAATGGCACGGATGACACAGTACAAACTGGTGGAGTGCGTGAAGCGGTTGGGTTGGTAATACGCAAGAGAAACAGAAGAGAAAATAGGAGTTTGTAGTAGGATTCTGATGAGTGGGGGCGGGGATGGAGATTCAAAAGAGGGATGACATTTGGCATGAGGATAATACATACTAGGACCAGCGGTATGGAAAGTGGAGGGGGATGGGAAAAAGCGGATGCTGCGAAAGAGGAGGGAGAAATGAGGAAGGGAGGAGGACGAGGGTAAGCACAACTACAGACATTCTGGTGTGGATAAGGGCGTGGATTAGGGAGGAGGAGCGAGGGATGATGAGGAAGGAGCATGAACTTCTAAAGACACGCTCTTCAACGAAGGGGCACCGGAGAGCGCACTGATACAATACATGCAGCATGACTACAGTGTAAGGGCAGCCGGCGATGGGCCGCCACAATTCGGAAGCGCAGGAACTGACAGCTTCGTCATCCGACGGGTCTGCCTCTCCACCTAGCGCCGCTTTATCCTGAGACAGAGATGCGCTAACGGGCCCACACTGCCCACCTCACGTAGTGGCAGACTCACACTGTTGAACAGGGACCGACCGTCCCGGCATTCTTATAGTCCTACCACGAAATGTTCTTAGAAGCCCCAAATGCTCTAAGAACAAAAGCAATGTTCTTAGAACATAAACCCGATGTGTTAAACCAAGACGGTCCCAGCCAGAACTGTTCTTAGAACATTCTTTGGTAGGACTATAGGCACGCCAGGACGCTTCGCCACAGCTCGACACTGCCACTGGAAGTCAAGATGCGAACCCGTCGAATGGGCGTTGCGACACTGGTGTGGTGAAAGCGTGCGTGCTGCTCCTCCCCCCTATGGCTCGTGCCTCCGCGTCGCCGGAGCCCAGCACAGCGCTCGAGTGCGACTCGAGCACCACTGCCACGAAGATGACCTGCGCCGTGGCCGCCAGCCCAGCCAGCGCGCCGAACAGCAAGGAGCCTGGAGGAGGAGGAGGAGGAGGAGGAGGAGGAGGAGGAGGAGGAGGAGGAGGAGGAGGAGGAAGAGGAGGAGGCGGAGGAGGGCGTCCGCGCCAGCAGAGACGACGATGAGACGGGGAGCGACGGCTCTGGACTTGGACGACTCCGGCGCGCAGGAGAAGCGGCACTGTGGCAAGAAGACCCCACACGCAACAGGCCATCACACGGCACCGAACGGCCGATGGATCTGAGAGTAGCTCCGAAGCGCCACACGGCGCCACGTGGGCCAAGGATTCGACGCAGGACCAAATGGGGGGCTGATAAGAGCAACGGATCCACTGCGCGTGTAACGGATCTTTGAACTGGGGTAGCGACAGCACGTGGCGGCACATACCACCACTCATGCAGTGGACACGAGAATTGGAGACACGTCGCCGCACGCCACCACATGGTCACATGAGCAACTCATGCACTTTTGCTTGGTATGTGTGGGGGGAAGGGGTGACAGCAGCGGCGAACTTATTCTGTATGACTTGCTTGGCTCACGTACCAACGTGTCGGCGAAGCAAGACGGCTTGTTAGCACGTTTGCAGGGGGCAGGCAAACACAGCACAATCATACCTTTAGCTTTAGGGTGCTAAGCTGAAACAGTGGCACGGGAGCGAATCTTATACTGCGCGATGATGTCACCTGATTTTGCGCCGGTAACCTCGTCATTCGCGATGATGCGTCAGGTATACCGTAGCACCCCGCAATTGCGGATAAGTGTGAGGGGGCGGGCGCGGGCGACGCGGGCGTCGTCGAGCCGGCGGACCTCGTGGCCCCCACCTTCCCTGTCGATGGCGCTCTCCTCAACCTCCTCCTCCTCCTTCTCCTCCTCTTCCTCCTCCTTCTCCTCCTCCTCTTCCTCGTCCTCATCGTCATCGTCATCCTCCTCCTCCACCTCGTCCTCCTCCTCCTCCTCCTCCTCCTCTTCTTCCTCGTCCTCCCTCTCCCCCCGTCTTTTCATCATGGTCCTCCCATTGTCGTCCTCCCCCTCATCGGCCTCCATCATCGTCCTCCCATTGTCGTCCATCATCATCATCCTCCCCATCCTCCCCCTCCTCGTCCTCCTCCTCCCCCTCCTCCCCCTCCTCCCCCTCGTCCTCCTGCTCCTCCTCCTTTTCTTTCTCCACGTTGTCCTTACATCCTCTCTTCTTCCGCGTTCTCCTCGTCCCCTGTTTACTCATCCTGCCTCCCCCTCCTTTCCCAAGATAACTGCAACGCAATCCTTTTTTCCACTTTATGCTCCCCGCCTTCTCTGATCAAGGCAACTCGCCAGGGCAAAGTTGCTGGACGGGCTGGCGTGGATGCGCGGGGCTTGAAGAAGTCCTTGCGGGCTCAGACGGCATGCAAGAACCTGACCTGACAAGAACGGGAAGCGAATGTTCGAACGTTCGTTGCAGGTGTGGCATCACATGGGGACGTCAAAACTGGAACGCTTGTGCGAACAGGAGGGGACTGCGCGGTGCCCGAGTCAAGGATCCCTCGAAATTATACGACGCTCGCGCTCCCGAGGCGACGGACGAGTGACGACGACGACGGCGGCGGCGGCTGCGGCGGCGGCGGCGGAGGAGGACGAACAGGAGAATGAGGAGGGGCGGGAGGATGCTGGGAGAGGGGGGGAAGGAGGGAGACAAAGGGGAAGAGGAGGCAAGGAGGACGAATGGGGGGAAGGCGACGCTTCTCGGCGCTCCTTGCGAATCGCTGTCGGTGTGTAGGGGGCGTGTGGGCGCAGCCTTCGGGTTGCGTGGGGGTTCGTGCAGAGCAGTAAGGACGGTCGAAGCCACGCTGGGAGCCGTGTGGGACACTCTATGAGGTTTCTGAATGTTTTTTCTGGACGCTGGCGCGTCCGTAGATTGGGTTCTTGGGGTCTCCGGGCGCGTGGTGGAGGCCTCTCGGGGCGCCTTTGGGCCCATGTGCGTTCAGATTCCAATCCGGCACCGCATCTTTGAGGATGGCTGGAGCAAAACGGCCTTTTGGTTTGCCGCGCTGGTCTGGCGTGCTGGTCGACCCAGTATGCCGTCTCGGCGCGTGATGGACCTTGTGGGCCGTCTGGGGCTCTTCGGGCTTTCTGGGGGTCTCTCGGGAGCCTCTTGAAAGCTTGTTGGTTATCTTTCTGGAGCTTCTCTGGAATGTCGTGGGCCCCTTGGATTGTCCTGGCGCTTCTGGAGGGTATGCGGTTACTCCCTTGGGCCATCTTGGCGCTCTCTGGGGCCGTCTTGGGGCTCTCGTGGGCGATATGGGAGTTTCTTCTGGCACTCTTGGTGCCGTTTGGGCGCCTCTCAGGCGTTCTTGTGCGCAAAGGTGTGGACGGTTGATTCGTGTTCTTGTCGTTGCTGACGTCGTCTTCTTTGTCGATGTATTTTCTTGCGTAGTGGCTTCCGTCTTCATCATTATTGCCCTCGTCCTCGTGATCGTATTTCTCGTCGTCGTCGTTGCTTTGTCGATGTCGATTGCAGGACTGGCGGGAGGAAGTCATGCGCTATGCGAACACATCGTGGCGTCGGAACACTGCACGGCAGCAACGGCATGCTCGTAGGCACGCCTCCGAAGGGAATGAAAATGCAGTGGCAGATCGCTTTGCGATCAGTTCGCCAAGCGGTTACATTCTGCGTACTCGTGGAGTAGAAATGGTGGTACGTCTGCGGCTGTCCAGAAAGACGTCTGTGTCTCCGTGCATGCGGGCGCGTGGGAGCCGGCACGATGTGCAGCACGTAGTTCAGCACCTCTGAAATGAAAGGGCTCTTCCCACCACAAGGAAATCCAGAAAGGGTAATCGTCGCGCTGGCTACACGTGTTGTATAAGCAGGTTGTCGCCTGGTTCGGGGGGTCCGAAATGTGACGAGGGCCAAGGGAGTCTGGGCTTCCCGCGCAGCAGCAGGTGAGTCTCGAACCGTTGGGCGCAAGAGTCCGAGGGTTCAAGGAGGGCTGCCCGGAGGGGGTAGCCAAGACGTCCCTGGCCCAAGTCGATTTGGGATCCCCAGGCCTGTGCCGGTAAATTGTTCCGGAACACGAAGACGCCGATGTCGAGGGCCTCGCTGAGGCTGTTGACGTCTGTTTGTGTGCCCCAATGAATATTTCCAGGTTGGGCCATGCAAGCGGCAATGCTTTCTCGAAGGTGCTGCAGTCGCGCCGTGCCGTCTGGTATAGTGATCAGGCTTTCGTCGCGGTCGCCTCCTCCAAGTCGCGCAGCTGTCACGGCCACCCGGGCAACGGCATTCCCGTCGGATCTTTCCTCGAACGCGAGGACGCTCTCCACGTGCGCGAAGCAATCCAGAGAGGACTGGCGAAGAACATCGAGCGGAACCCATAGGTCTTCATGCATCCCCGCGCGGTGCTGCATACAGGCGGACACCATGAAGTCAAGTACTTGCTCCGGGGTCCAGCGCAGGTATATCCGAGCGGACAGATGTCGGAGTGCTCGCATGACGGCATCCTTGCCCTGGAGGAAAACTTGCGAAGACACGGTCTTCAATATGTGGCGCGCAGGTGGGCCACCAGCGACAACCATGCGAGCCAGCACTCCGGCAATGCTGTAGAAGAAGCAGTCTCCGCGGCCGCCGAACTCGACGCTGTGCACGGACATCGTGGAACCAATGGAAGACCCAATTGTTGCAACGCGGGTGCACAGTGCGTCTGAGACGGCATGGGCGGCACCATGTGCCCACTGCAGCAGGGAGCGCGAGTTGGACGCAGGTGATAGCAAGAAGAAGGGGCACCGCTCGTAGTCGACGCAGCACTCCGGCGCGCCGCACTCGCCGCACGGGCGGGCGGATGCAGTCGACGGCACTATCGACGTAGCTGTTGCGCTTGGAGCTCGCGTTCGTGTCGTCGGGGGTGCCGCGCCGAAGAGAGCGTCGGCCATCGGTGCTGGGTGCCCGGACTGCGCCTGATGGCCAGCGCGTGCATCGATTGCCTTCCCTGGCACAGAGTCCTGCGCTCGGGGCGGCGGCGGCACCTGCGCCGCGGTACTCTCCGTCAGCCGCGGCTTCTTCAGCGGGGGCAGCGCAGACAGGGTCATCGCTTGCTCCGCCGCGCCGCCGCCGGCGCTCCACGTGTCTCCATCCTGCGGCAGCAGCGTTGGCGGCGGTGTCTTCCCGCGCGTTCGCCGAAGCACACTGCGGCCCTCCTCGGGGCGCGAGGGCGGCGGCGAAGCTGTCGCGCGCTGCTGGTGTCTGGCAGGGCGGTTAGCTCGGAAGGAAGCTACCCGGGATGCCTGGCGCGACGCGCCATCGCTCGCGAGGACGTGATCCATCAGGTCGTCGGGCAACGCATCTCCTGTCATGTCCCGCAAAGTGCGGATGAGGTCACCGAGCGACGACGTCTCCATTTCGGCCAGCCTGGTAATCTCGTCTAGCAGGAACTTCGGCGGCTTTCGGGAAAGTTCTCGCCTGGTGGCCGGGCGTAGAATGAAAAGGCTCTCCACGGAGACAGCGCGCGAGAGCATCGCGTAGCACGCAAGCCAATGCGTATCTGCGTCCATGGAAGGCGGCTTCTTCATGTCAGCCACCACGGCTACGTATGTACCCCCCTGAGCGCCGTACACAATAATCGTATCTGCTGGCAACAAACGGTAAGTGGTGCGGCGTACTGAGAAATGCTCCTCTTCCCACGCTGCGCGCAAATACCCGCACGTCGGTCTCATTTGAAACAAGCCGCGCCGGTCAGTGCACGTGGGGAGGTCCGCAGCCAAGTCGGCCGCCGGGAGTTCCCAGTCGCCGCCGTCAGCCTGCAGCCATAGGGAAACGGGCATGAACTGTACGTGCACGACGTTCTCGTCCATTGGGTCCGACTGGAACGGCTCTCCGTCGGCGAAGACAATGTGGCGGAGCGTGCAGACGCAGCCCTTCATGAGGCCCAGCCGCACGCAGTCTTTCGAGCACATAGTCAGGCGCATTCCGATGTACAGGGGCAAAAGACTCGGCAAGTCCTGCGTATCTTTCGGGCTCACCTTCTGCAGGAGGTCTCGATGGACCTGTTCTGTCATTTTTTGAGCGTCGGCGGGGTCCACTGGCTCGTCGCGGGCTTGGACGACGTAGAGGCGGCGGCCCGTCCGCAGTGCTTGCTGCTTAGCGTTCTGCATGGATCGGTAGACGCGAATCTTGTGCCTGTGGGCGATGTATGTCCAGGGGTTCGTGGAGAAGGGCGACGCGGGATCGCGCGGGCGGGCGTCATCTGAAGATAAGATGCGACTGGTGTACAAGGACCACATCGCGTCCGATATGTTGCCTGCACGCATCTCCGCCAGCAGCTGGCTGAGTGTGCCAGGGGCGCGGACGTTCACTTCCAGCGTCACCACTTTCCGGACGCGGCGCCACAGCTGCAGTCCTTGCACCGTCTCCACGTGCTTCGACCTCTTCTTGTCCGCGTTATGTTCCTGGTCGTACTCGCCCTTCTCATTCAGGACGTCGACCTCGTCCAGGTCCGTGGCGAGGCTCCTGTTGTCGCCCGTGGGGTCGACTGGTGGGAGCTGCATGAAGTCCCCGGACAACGTCATGCCCAAGCCACCCCAAGCCTGGGTGGAGTTCTTGGCCGCCTTCAATCGAACCTCCGCCTGGAAGAGCTGGGCTGCTGCGACCATGGACACCTCGTCAATGAAGCACGCGAGGGCGCCTTCCCAGCGGCTCCTGTGGCTCTCCAAGACAGTGCGGGTGAGGCGACCTTTCTTACTGGACACGGTCACGTTGCCAAACGGTAGCTTGCACAGTGCGTGCAGCGTGTCCCCTCTCAGAAGCCTTGGCGCCGAGTTCGACGGCGCACATTTCTGCACCGTGTCTGGGCCGTTGAAGTAGCAGATGATTGCCTCGACGACTCTCAGAACCGCCGTCTTCCCAGTGCCTCCGGGGCCCATGAGTGCGAGTTGAAACCCGTCTGCCAAAGACGGTCGCCCTGTGACAGTCGGCCCAGAGGGCTCGTCGAACCCCCACGCGCGGTTCATGACGTCTTGTAGCCATGCAGCGTTCCAAAGCAGCGCGCGCGCCTGTTTGACGTTGATCTCGGGCATGTCGACCACGTTCAGTACGCCCGCCCGCAAGAGGTGGAAGCAAGCTTCGAGCACTGCAGTCCGCGTACGCGGAGGTACAAGCGGGAACGCCGAGCTGCGGCCGTCTGCCATGACCGTCTGGAGTCGATGCTGCAGGGCATCCTGCGTCTCCTGAGTGGACTTCTGCGGCTTCGTACTCGCCTCGGCCTTCCAGGCGTCAATCATCTTGAAGAAATCCGCTTGCCGGTCCGCAGCCGCCAGAGATGCGGCCGGGCGCAATCGCACGGCATCCTCGAATACTGGTGCACGAGAGGCCACGTCCGGCGCTCGGAGCCGGGCGGAGTTCTCTCGCATGAACTCGACAATGTACTTCGCTTCTGCGGCGGTGCTTCTCTGCCATGCCGCTGGAGCAATCACGTCGTCCATTTCCACGCCCGCGGGGAAAATGCCGCAGAGGAGGCTGGCCGGGTCGGGTGCTCGGTGTCGTCGGGCTGGCGCGTCGTTGCCCGTGTTGTCGTCGTCCAAGGGAATGTCGGGCGGGTTTGCATCGTCGTCGCCGTCGTCGTCGGACTCCAGCAGAGTGTCCGGGTCGTTCGCGGCGGCCTGGGCTGCTTCGTCACGGGCGGCGTTCCACGGTGGGAGAAATGGCATCTGCACGCTTGACGGCACGGCTTCACTGATGGCTTGCCTCCTGGAGGATGCGAAGTCGTAGTTGCGAATGCTCTCCAGTATTCTGTGCGCCCACCACTCTGGGGTTAGAGGGGGCGTCTCCGCGGTGCACTTTCGAGCCACCTCTCGGGTCGACATTTCCCATGCGCGGAAGTCGTGCACGACGGCTGCCTGACATGCTTTCTCTCCATGCGGCCACGGTGTCGACGTGATGCGGGTGGCGAAATCTGACAGGGCCCGGAAGGGCCTGAACAGAACCATTACATTCAACGCATAGAGGAACCACTCGTCCAGGTGGTCGTCGCTGGCAGGCCGGCCAGGCAATTTGCCGTAGAGGATGGGCACCTTCCACGGCTTTGTCAAACGCAATGAGATGTAGTACGCGTACCTGTAAAGTACTTCCCCATTGGGCTCTGCGTCCGTCGAAGCCCCTCGGAGCGGCACTCCGTCGTAAGTAGCGCTGGTCACTGGCGCGGCCGTGTACTGCCGGCGGCTACCGTCCCTGACCCACCGAAGAGATTCCGGCGGGAGGTTCTTGCCAACGGGCAACTTGGCGTCGCAGCTCGCGAAGAAGAAGTAGAAGGGAAATTGTTCCAGTTCTTGCGGCCTGTGCACGTAGTCCAACTCGCCGATGTGGAGTTTGGCTGGTGTCAACTTCGTAGTATATGGTCGCGGTTGGCTGTGGTCTGTCTGGGCAGGTTCACGGCGAGCTGTCTGGGACATGGTGGCACGAATGATCGCGAGGAGCTTCCCGAAGAAGACAGGGACAAACGTGTGGCTGCTGTGCGCGATGGGCTTGCCTAACAGGTAACTGATCATCTCGGGGAACCCCTTGTGCATCCGGTTGTTAGTCGCGGCCACCAGCGTGTGCAACAATTTGCGTGCCTTCTCCTGGTCATCGACCATGTCCGTCGCGGCTGCCAGCTGTGCCGCGCGTTCTTTCCTCTCGAGCGATGCGGCCAATGTCATTTTCAGGCCGTCTGCGTGCGGCTGCGACTTCGCTGAGTACGCCGAGGCGTAATATTCGTGGTCCCCCATAGCTTCGGCCATCGCTGCTTTCACTTGGGCAGCGCGGCTCTCATTCGGGAGGTCGGCATCGTTCGCGGGGAGCTCGCAGAAACGCAGCAGGGCCGCCAAGTCATGGTTGCACTGCGGGCCCAGCATGATGGCGGGGTTCAGCCGGAAGTGGAACGGATGCGTTGTTTCCAGCGCTGGGAGCCCCACGTGTGGCGGGTAACGCAGGATCGGCAGCTCGCCAGTGCCGTCCCATCGAGCGTGTAGTTCCAAGCCATGCTGACGTTTGGCAATATCTTTCCCCGTCTTCGCGTCGGTCTGGCAAGCCCAATGCCAATAGTGCATGCGGCAGAATCCTTTCTTGCCGAGTCGCCCTTTGTAACAAACTGCCGGCCGACATACGTGATTGCCAGTTTTCCTGTGGGTCGTCTGGTCCAAGGGTTCCGTTTCAAGGGGGCGGCAGCCAACTCAGAGAAGTCCACGAAACACACACTCGTGGGTGTAATGGGGGATTCTGTTTCCGCCGCACCCCCAGAGGTGCCAAGAAACGTTTCGGGGGATTGGCAGTGCTCGGAAGACGGAAAGCTTCGTGGGGAGAATCCATTGAGCTGCTGTTGCTACCGCCGCCAAGAAACGGAACCCTACGAGCAGGCGAGAGGTCCTGGTCCGCGAGAAGATTTCCTGCACGGCCTTCACAGCCCACTTCCCGCTGTCGACGTTGCGGTCGGAGGAGAAGGACGTCGGGAAGAACGGGAACTCGGCGACGTCGCCGGCGCACGCAGCGGGTCCTTGCGGGTTGACGGAGAGGGAGGCCAGCTCATGTCCAGTGAAAAGGGGTAGTGCAATGCACGCATACATGTATGCATACATATGTGTGTACGGGCATGTACATATACACATGTATATATGTATATATATATAGGTACACATACATATACATATGTGTCTGTTGGGGGTAAATGCACTGCAACCAGAAAGAATGGCATTGCATTGTAAATACGGTATCACACGCACAGGTCCATCTAAACGTTTGCGGCCTAAAACGCATTGCGCGAAGCAAATCTCTAGCGCCCCAGGGGAGCTGTTGGACTAAATGTATTGCACCACCCCCTGGGAGCTTTTAGCTGGCTACCCTTTTCCATCGACTCGTTCCTTGCAGGCCCCGCCCCTGCCACTGGGCGGCGTTGCTGGCGGCCGTGCGAACGCTCCCGATCTTCTCCCGCTGCGATTTCGTCAACGGCAGCAACGGCAACTGTTGAAGGGCGGCTTGTCCGAGAGGGTCCTTCGCGTAGTGAGCGAATGCTTCCGTGCTGCGGAACGTGATAGATGCGACGTAGTGCCAGGCAAGTCGGAACGTGTTCTGCAGGTGGTCGCCCTGGAAGAGGTCGTCAGGGTGAGAGAATCCCACGAGCTGAATGAGCATGTGGATGTGCAGCGCTTTGCGCATCTGTTCTTCCACAACGCCTAGGTACGCCCGAACGTGCCCGACGATGCCGGGCAAATTCTTCGCGGCCATCCCGTCGCAGTTGAGCTGGTCGGGCGCATCCGCGCAATTGAACAATGCGCGCATGACGAGCCGCACGGTCCAGTGGAAGACGCGCGTGGCAATGAGCGGGTCCTTGGCCACAGCTCGGTGAAGGCGCCGCGGGTCCTCCCGGTTGAAGTCGGCCATCCACTGGGTTCCTTCGTCGTCGGTCATGTCCAGGGAGAACTTGCGGGACAAGGTCGCGTCGTCCTGGGCCAACAGCACAGTGAGGGGGCTCCGAATGTCGTGCGGGTTCAGGGTGAAGAAGAGCGATGCGCATCCAGACCATATTCGCAGAGCCCGGAATCGCCAGATGAATCCTTCTCGTTCCTCGGCGGATCCGCGGACACGTCGGAGCACGAGGTGCATCCGGTGAGCGGCGTTGCGCACGACGGGATCGAGCCCTTGCTGTCGAAGCAGATCCCGGAGATTGGCCGCGTCCCCAGCGGCCGCAGCGGAAGAGACGAGGCCTTCAGCAGTGAGTTGCGCGAGCGCAGTGGTTTGCGCCGATGTCATGCCAGTGATGCCGTCGCTGGCCGTGGACTTCACGTGGGCCTCGACGCTGGCCATCTGGTCGCGCCGCAGGAAAGTGTTGAACAGCGTGGCCACGAACTCCACGTCGCGGCGCCAGCAAACAGTGTCGGCTCGAGTGAGCAACGTCTTCGCCCACGTCGCTGCGGGCAGGCGAGCGGGGCGCTGGGAGCACGTTTCCTGGCAATCCCCGCGGGGGAAGAGGCGGACGAAGCATGCCGCCCAGAAGTTCTCGGCCCGCGAGGACAGGAACTGGTCTCCGTGGGCGATCTGCACCGCAGCCGCGTCGTCCTTCTCTTGCGCCGCCCACTTGTCCAACTCCTTCCGGACAGAGTCGTGGGACATCCGTTGCATTGCCTCGACTGCTTTGGCGAGTGCCTCATTGTGCCGCATCTTCTTCTGCGCGCGAGCGGACGAGTCGTGGTCCTCCGACAACTTATGAATCTCATCCTGGAGACGCGATGCGATGTCGAAATTCTCCACGACCCGTGTCCACAAGCGGAGTGCTGGTACGTCGTCCATGCCTCCGTTCACTACGGCAGCGTTACCATCTTCAGCGGTTCCAGTCGGGTCTGGTTCGCGGGCGCCACTGTCGGTGCAGTCAGCTGGGCCCTCCGACGCCACCGAAGCCTTTGCTGCAGAAGCCGCAGTTGCTGCGGAGAGTACCTCCCGCGGAACGCCGGAGGAGCTTCCAATGCTGCTGGCGTAGGCACTGAGCAGGGCCTCCAGGGCGGCGTGCAATGTGCCCGAGCGCCAGATCTCGTGATGCCTGGTGGCGAACATGAACATCCAATTGTTGAGGGAGAGCCACCGGAACGCCGCGCGCAAGCGGAGCACGGAGACCTGGAGGTCGGGGTGTCGGTGTAGATCGTCAAACGTCCCGCCCACGAACTGGATCACCATGGTCTGTGCAAGGGCCGCAGGTAGCATGCCTATGGCAGTCAGTGCGGTCTCGGGGCTCTGCGGGTAAGCCACCACGTTCTTCTGGTGGTACGCGGGGGCCTCCGAAGTGGCCGTAGGAGCGTAGGACGCCTTGCTCAGGAACACGCGTTTGATGCTGACATACACTTTGGCGAGGTTGATGACTTTGCACTCGGCGTACGTGAGGTCCACGAACTCACGGGGGTCGGCGCCTCTCCACATTCCGTTCGCCAGAGCAGCTGGCGGCACTCGAACTCGAGGGCGGCGATCCTCACGGGGGCCAGTAAGTTCCCGCAGAGCGGACGCGCAATGCTTGCACATGTTCGCCGTGATGCCGGAGGCGGCGCCCTGGCAGTCTGCGCTGGACCTCGAAATGCCCGGGCGGTACAGCAGCCAAAGCCTGTCGGGGTGGCCGGGCGCAGCAGTGGAGTCCGCCGCAAGGTCGGTGCGCACGACCGCCGCCCAGCGCTGAACCCTCTCTTGCCAGCTTCGAGCAGCCTCGGGCGTAGTGAAGCCCAGGGAACTTTCCTCTCCCTTCAACAGAGCTGCGACGTTGAGCTCTGCTTCTCGCAGCCGCTCACTCTTGCAGAAGATCAGTTCCATGTGCCGGTCGACGTTGAAGACGTTGTCCAGCTGCGTGTGCCAAGCGTCCTTGTGCGCAGTCCAGACGTCGGCGGGCCAATGCAGCCAGTCGGGGCACGCGTCGTCTGAGGGGTCCGGTAGGTACGTCGTCTGGAGCTTGCATCGGCGCTTGTCCCGTGCGCAGACTGCGCAAGGTGCCATGGCAAAATTGGCATCGGTGAGCTCCGCCTTGAACGCAGCCAGACGTGCCCGCACAATTTGAGGACTGATGGGCGTTGGCCACTCTGTGAGGGATCGTTGAAGTACCACGTTCCTGTAGGAGTCCAGTACCTCACACTCGGCGTCGAGCACGTCGCGGTGCATCTCCATGAGGTGCGCGGGAAGGTCCTCGGGCCGTACGTGGGCGAGACACAGGCGGCAGTGATCGGGGTGTACGTAATCGGGTGTGGCCGAGTATGCTGGTAACGCCTCCTGCGAGTGGGTCTTGTGCAGAAACAATTGAAAAGCTGGTTCTTTGCCGGTCCACGATTGGGCGGGCGGCAACGATTCCACGTACGATTCACTTTCGACTTGCACCAGCTTTGCGAGCATGGCGGGGGACTGTCCTGCGAAGCACATCTTGCAACAGTGCATGTAAATCCGATCGGTCCTCGCGGGCGTCTTGCCGCAGATGATGCAGAGCGTCCCTGACGCGGTCCAGCACGCGTCGCACAAGGCCTGCGAATCTTGGAAGTGTGTGGAGCAGAGGGTGCACGAACGGACAGAACGAGGGCAGTCCATGGTTGCGCACGGTCGGTGAGAAACCACCAATGTCTCACCGGTGATGGGATCTGCTTCCCGGTAACAGTACCCGCACACAGGCTCAACAAAATGGCGGCGGCACAGGCCGGATTGTCTCTCTTCGTCGCTGGAATGCACGGGGCACCACAGAGCGAGAGTGGTGCACAAGGAACAGCTCGGCAACGTGGCGTTTGGAGCAGGTAGTTGCCGACAGATTTCACACGCGCGAACGGTTGCGCATGCGATGCACGATCGTGCGGTGTAGAACTTTGTGTGCGCGGGTGTCGTACTGCAATATCTGCACAAGCGGCCATCAGCAATCCAGCACTTCCCGCAGGTCTCATTGGGACTGGACGCCGCACAAGATGAACACAGTGGGAAAGTGGAGCGGCATGAGGATGTAGCGCATGGCGCTCTGCTCATCGACGCACTCGGCAGCGTTGCGCGGCACATCGTGCAAGAAGTCTGGGTCGAAGCGCATGCGTGGCACAAGCCTGAAGCGCGCTCGTCAGCAGTCGTGTGCGTGGGACAGCCCATGGCACAAGCAAGTGCATGGGCGTGGGTTTTTTTTCGTGCGCGTCACACATGCGGAGCATCTCAGGGGGCAGTCCTCCGAGTTGTACCAGTTGCACTCGCCCACATGGCAGGCCCTTTGGCGCTCACATGGTTTGCACATGATCTTGCGCACAAGTTCCCGTGACTCTCCGCAGAAGTTGCATATCGACTTTCGCGCTTGCTGCTTCTGGGCGTACTTTTGGGGGAACAAGTTGCGGTAGCACACTTTGCAGTACCCGTCGTACCCCGTTTGTGCGAACGGTGTGTTCTTCTTGGCACCGTGGGTTCCTCGGCACAGCATGCGGCCCTGCGACATGGTGGCCGAAGCGCTGGGGGTGCACGTGCAGCCCTGGCGCCCCGCGGCGCCTCCAGGGGAGGTGCCTCCGACGTTGGCGGGCGGCGCGGTCGCGGTGGTTTGAGCCGAAAGCGTACGTGATAAGGCATGTTGCGGAACTTGTGTATTCGGTGGGTGGCTCCAGTATGCCATTCCAATGAACGCCGGCACTGTCTTGGCCCTGGAGGGA